ACATATCTCTGATATATACAAAGGGTTTATAGGGGAGTGGGGTAGACCCCTTCTATTAATTACGGGTGATTCTAATAACCTGCAGTGGCCGGGGAAGGTCACTAGAGGGAGAAGTGAGAACTCACAACACTTATCTGAAAAGTGGTTGCTATAGAGTTTAACCCTAGAAAGTGCTAGGTAATGAACGAGGCTGCTAGAAAAAACACATAAGACACAGAGTACCATCTGGCAAGGAATCTGAAAGGACACATTGCAATAATTCTTTCAATCTAGTCATTGTGCATGGCGTATGTAACTTAGCAAGTATCAGGACTGACTTCATGAATCTGATTGCGGAGATTAAAACATCCTTCTACAGATACTTGGAGAAGACTAGGGCCAAGGGGTTTATGAAGCATTTATGTGTCCATTTACCTGTACATCTTTCCTTGATCAAGGAGGCTTAGTCTGTATTTATTAAGCAGTTAATGAGCTAGGAAACGCTGCTAGGTTGTTACATACAACCCCTCGTACCACTTCGCAACTCATAACTGTTTAATAAGTGCAAACTAAGCCATCACGAATGAAAACAAACACATACACACAAAGAAGGGTTAGTGGAGATATGATTACCACATACAAGATTCTTATAGGAATTGATAGGGTAATTAAATACAATTTATTTAACACATAAGGGACACGCACTAAGGGACACAGGTGGAAACTGAGTACCCAGATGACCCATAAATATATTAGAAAGAACGTTTTCAGTGTCAGAGTAGTTAACAGATGGAATGCATTAGGAAGTGAAGTGGTGGAGGCTGACTCCATACACAGTTTCAAATGTAGATATGATAGAGCCCAGTAGGCTCAGGAACCTGTACACCAGTTGATTGACAGTTGAGAGGCGGGACCAAAGAGCCAAAGCTCAACCCCCGCAAGCACAACTAGCTGAGTATATCCGCATACACAACCCCCCCCCCCAACACACACACGCGCGGCCGGCTTTGGTGGGAGCCGGCCGGCCGAGCGGACAGCACGCGCACACGTGATCCTGTGGTCCCGAGTTCGATCCTGGGCGCCGGCGAGAAATGATAGGCAGAGTTTCTTTCACCTTATGCCCCTGTTACCTAGCAGTCAATAGGTATCTGGGAGTTTGTCAGCTGTCACGGGCTACTTCATGGTGTGTGTGCGTGTGTGTGTGTGTATGGTGTGGGGGAAAAAATAGTAGTAGTAGAAACAGTTGAGAGGCGGGCCGAATGAGCAGAGCTCAACCCCCGCAAGCACAACTAGGTAAATACACACACACACAAGCCATGCAACACAAGAGGAAAAACAGAGAAGAAACATCATGCGAGCAACAGGTGTTCCAAAGCCAACCAAAATCCAGACAACTACGCCGTCACGTTGCCAGGATAATGACCATAAATGACAGGGAATTGGACCACAGAAATGAGGCGGAAGGTGGACGACGAGCCGGAACAATTGCTTGAAATGAGAAGGAAGAGAAGACGTCCAGAGATAGATCGAAATGGAAGGGGGGAAGGAGAGAGAGGGAACTCTGATAGCAACAGAAGAATAGCTCAAGGATTCAACTGCAGAGAATTGACGGCACATAGAAATTGAACCAAGACTATATCACCTACGAGTCCTTTAAACCTATGTCCTGTAAACAATGAAAACCTGTTTTACGAGGTTGTGCTGGATACATTAAGTCAATGCTCAGAAGACCTTTCAGCTAATAAGGCTTTTCCCAGACTTGGCCCAGGCTTGGTCCTGGCTTGGCCCTGGCAAGGTCCAGAAGCTGGAGATATGTCTCCATAAACACAGGTTGTGAGGAGCACACATTAAACACCGCCTGCCAGAAGATCAACAGTACTTGTAGTTTAGGCTTTCATCAGCCATAGCCAGACAGCTGGTGTCTGGATTGTGAGATACCGACACACAGCTGTCACTATCCTCACCTTCCTGCAGTGAGAGAGAGAGAGAGAGAGAGAGAGAGAGAGAGAGAGAGAGAGAGAGAGAGAGAGAGAGAGAGAGACAGACAGACAGACAGACAGACAGACAGAGAGAGACAGACAGACAGACAAACAGACCGACAGAATATTTATAGTTATAACATATATTCAGGTGATTTTTAGTGGGTATTTCCTCTGCACTTAAACTTATCATGACCTAAACAAACTATTTGTCCAGGTCAACATTAAAGTGCCACAGTTGTGGCAAGAGGATGGGTGACACAGCAAGAGAATGTCGCCCAACCCACTACTGTCAGAATTTCGTCCCCAACTATCATCGATATTCTACTACCACCAGCTGTATATACAGGAAAATAAAATACATGCATAAACTTACATACACACAGACATAGGTACAGACTATACAGCTATAGACATACAGACTATACAGCTATAGACATACAGACTATACAGCTATAGACATACAGACTATACAGCTATAGACATACAGACTATACAGGTATAGACATACAGACTATACAGCTATAGACATACAGACTATACAGGTATAGACATACAGACTATACAGCTATAGACATACAGACTATACAGCTATAGACATACAGACTATACAGCTATAGACATACAGACTATACAGCTATAGACATACAGACTATACAGCTATAGACATACAGACTATACAGCTATAGACATACAGACTATACAGCTATAGACATACAGACTATACAGGTATAGACATACAGACTATACAGCTATAGACATACAGACTATACAGCTATAGACATACAGACTATACAGCTATAGACATACAGACTATACAGGTATAGACATACAGACTATACAGCTATAGACATACAGACTATACAGCTATAGACATACAGACTATACAGGTATAGACATACAGACTATACAGCTATAGACATACAGACTATACAGCTATAGACATACAGACTATACAGCTATAGACATACAGACTATACAGCTATAGACATACAGACTATACAGGTATAGACATACAGACTATACAGCTATAGACATACAGACTATACAGGTATAGACATACAGACTATACAGCTATAGACATATGGGCAACAAACAAACAGAGGACCTGGAAAAAGGAGGCATAAACGGAGTCAATCTTTCCCTAAGCCTAGTATAGTACATTTATGAACCACGTTAGGCCTAGGACTGCGTTTGTTATGCATAGGATTGATTATTTAGGCCTAGGTCAGATTAGATTTATGTTGAAGCTGTTACAGTGTTATGTTATGCTATTTAGAGTATTCAAATAGTACATAATGTGAACTTTTTTGTGAAAACGTAGTCTATATTTTGAACATCCATCCATAGTCCTCCATCCATCCACCAGTCTCCATGGTGTAGTGGTAAGACAGTCACCTGGCGTTCCGCGAGCGCTTTGTCATGGGTTCGTATCCTGGCCGGGGAGGATTTCCTGGGCGCAAATCCTTAACTGTAGCCTCTGTTTAACTCAACAGTAAAATGTGTACTTGGTTGTAACAACGATTCTTCGCGGCAGGGGATCGTATTCCAGGGACCTGCCCGTAACGCTACGCGTACTAGTGGCTCTACAAGAATGTAACAACTCTTGTATATATCTCAAAAAACAAAACAAAAATAGTAGCTATGAGCCCTGAAGCACTAAGAGGCTCTTCATAACAATAATAACCTTGGGTTGTGAAGTTTCCAAGCTCGTAAAGTGTTTACTAAATGTAAATAAAGCCGCCATGATTAAGAAAAGTTGCATAGGTTTCGTAAGTGGTTGTGTAAATGCTTGATGAATCCTGGTCGTGAAGGGTTGGTGGTAATGCCAACAAAGTTTACAGTAAGCTGAAGGCTTACTACGTCAGCTTTAACGTCATCTGATTAGTCTGGACAAAAATACAGGTCACGCCCCTTCCGTGTCCACTAACAAGGCGGAAGGTTGCAGATAAAAGTGACCAAACAAAGCCAACCGCAGGGAAAACGTAAACAAACCAGAGTTTTTTTTTTAGACAGTTTATAAAATCCTCGTGAACACGAACACCTCCTTGTTTATCCACATGCAGCTGTGGGAGGCAGATGACGCTGTCTCTGTATTAAATATAACATATAAGTCCTGAATGATTAATAATATAAAAGCGTGTATCGTTAATAATGCCAATTATGTCACATCAGAATGATCATTGGACTCTGAAAGTATCTTAATTAGGCTATTAGAGATCGTTAGTTTATACACGAGACTATGTAGTGTGATGGAGCGAACTTTTGAACATATACTTGAGTGTACACAAAGATATGTTATCGTAATAATATTAAATATTGTGTTAATGTACATATGGCGTAAGGTAGAGCATTGTATGTACCTCTAGGTCTGAGGACTGTGATCGCGGACGATGGGACTATAACAGCCGCCTGTCAGGATACACTGGGCTGCCAGAAACATTTTCCTTCACTATCAGTAAACACGTCACTTGCCAACCAGACATGCTGTCCTCTGAGCACATCTCTCATTCCTCTTACATACACGTATAATCAAAATGATACAACATTTCTGATTAATATCGAATCGAATCGAATAATACAGGAGAAGATGTCCATGGGGCGAGCGTTGAAGTGGGGACAGTTGAAGAGAAGTCGGTGAGAGGAAACGCTGAAGTTGAAGAGAAAGTGCCAGGGGCTTGACCCAGCTGCGTGTCTTTAGTCGATACTGAAAAGAACCCAACATCTGGCTAGGCTGGGAGACGGGTCAGAAGGCGGCAGTAGCAGTGCTTCTTTTTTCAAGGTAGAGACAATCTGTCTTCAGGTGGTGTCTTCATTCTTCTTTCTTCTTCTTCTTGCTTCTATCTTCTATGTGGTGCTTCTTCTTTCTTCTATTTCTGTTACTTTTTGCTTCGTGTAGTCATTTGATGTTTGTACTCTGCGTAGTCACTTTTAAAGAGTCCGGGTGCCAGTGTAGACACATCGCATTCCTCGAAGATTATGTCCTTCTCATGACTGCAAAAAGCTCCTGGATGGTTCTCTATGTATATGCTGGTCCTCGTGTTATATATCTGGCTGGTGATCCGTCTGAATTCGGGTGATCCATCTGTAGTTTTTTTCACGCTGTTGAAACATTGCCTCTATTACTGGATTAACATCCCATTCCAACTCCTGGGGTGGTGAGTATGTTACGTCAACACAGGCAGTAGAGTCGTCATCAGAAGACAAGTGGAGGTCTGCAGAAGCATCAGATGTAGGCGTCTGTGAACCTTCTGTGAACCTCAGGTACAACTGTAGTAGATGGTTCGTCTGGAGTAGCAGTGTGCAAGGATATTGCAGGATCTGTAGCAGGAGCTGTAGCAGGTTGCAGAGGGTGGGCGTCAGCAGACAGGATATCTGCCAAATGCATTTGGAGAGATGGTGATGTCAGGAGCAGAAGTAGAATTTGTGGCTGAAGTCGTAGCACTAGCGGTGGCTAAACCTGTAGTTGTGAAGAGTTCTTCAGAAACAGTAAATGTTGGTAGACCATTGTCAGTTTAAAGGATGTTTAGAATTCGTACGAATTCCTTGGTGTTTGCGCCTGCAATCCTTTCAGCAGTGCGGATGAGTCCCATTATAGCACTGTGATTCCTGTTGGGGAGCAGCATCTTGTGTGGTGAAGGCTGGCTTGTTGATTGACCAGAGAACGGTTGTGGCTGTTGTGGCTGCGTCGATGACTGGTTGGTAGACTGGGAGCCAGGCCCCCAATTGCGTGCAGACTGTGCAGAAGCTCCGCCCCCACCCGGAAGCAGAGGAAAGTTGGCGGCTTGCACGTTGAATGTTGATGGTTCACGACGAGTGGTGTTGGCTTGCCTGGCGTCGGACATCATCTGTATTTCCTCACGTCTTCGAGGGCACTCGGCAGAGACGGCAGTATGGTGACCTGGGCAGAGAAGGCATTGGAGGAAGTCGTTGGTGCATCGTTTGAAGTGGTGATTCTCGGCGCACTTGTTGCACCGTTAGTCTTGAGATGAACATTGTTTCGTGAAGTGCTCATAGCTATAGCACTTAAAGCACTGTCGAAGCTGGTAGTAATGTTCTTTGCTGATTTGTCGGGGTGCGTAAGCGAGGCCGAAGCACCGGAAGCCGTTGGTGGTAGCAGAGGTTGCTTCCTCAGGCGAGGTGAAGGTGACCTTCATGGTGGAGAGGTGACTGTCCTGCACAGGAATGAACTTTACAGAGACAGCAGTCAAGAGAGGATTCTGTTCAGTTATACTGGTGGCGACGTCGATGGCAGCTTTTTAGGAGAGGAGGGAGCCCACTCTCCGGACAAACACCGTCCTGGCTGCGAGAGTGTCGTGGTGGGGCGAGGCCCTGGAAACACAAACCGAAACTGTCTCTATTTTCCGCTTGTTACAACTTGTAATAAAGTTGTTACATCTTGGCTTAACGTGTTTATGACGTATTAGAACGTTGTTACAACTTGCTATATGGGTTGTTATAACTGGTTTGTGGTTTGGAGGTGTTAAAACTTGTTCGAACGTTGTACCAACGTCGTAGTTTCGCTGTGTGTTTGGCGGGGGAACATGTCCGCCTCCTCGAGAGCAGTAAGGTTGGTGGAGACAAGTAGACACTCTACGGCTTCAGGAAGTTTTCTTTTAGCGTGAGAGTAGTGGAAAAATGGAATGCACTTGGGGAACAGGTTGTGGAAGCAAATACTATTCATACTTTTAAAACTAGGTATGATAGGGAAATGGGACAGGAGTCATTGCTGTAAACAACCGATAGCTAGAAAGGCGGGATCCAAGAGTCAATGCTCGATCCTGCAAGCACAAATAGGTGAGTACACACACACACACACACACACACACACACACACACACACACACACACACACACACACACACACACACACACACACACACACACACACACACAAACACACACACATACACACACAAACACACACACATACACACACACACACACACACACACACACACACACACACACACACACACACACACACACACACACACACACACACAATCAGTTGATTGACAGTTGAGAGGCGGGACCGAAGAGCCAAAGCTCAACCCCCGCAAGCACAAATAGGTGAGTACAATGAAACTAGGCAGTGGAAACATGAGGCCAGACACAGGATACAGAATAGGAGAGGAAGTACTTAATGAAACGGACAGAGAGAAAGATCTAGGAGTTGATATCACACCAAACCTGTCTCCTGAAGCCCACATAAAAAGAATAACATCTGCGGCATATGCGAGGCTGGCTAACATCAGAACAGCGTTCAGGAACCTGTGTAAGGAATCATTCAGAATCTTGTATACCACATATGTAAGACCAATCCTGGAGTATGCGCCTCCAGCGTTGAGCCCGTACCTTGTCAAGCACAAGACGAAGCTGGAAAAAGTCCAAAGGTATGCCACTAGACTAGTCCCAGAACTAAGAGGCATGAGTTACGAGGAAAGGCTGCGAGAAATGCACCTTACGACACTGGAAAACAGAAGAGTAAAGGGAGACATCTTGAGGTTATCTTGAGATGATTTCGGGGCTTTTAGTGTCCCCGCGGCCCGGTCCTCGACCAGGCCTCCACTGACATGATCACAACCTACAAAATCCTCAGAGGAATCGACCGGGTAAACAAGGATAAGCTATTCAACACTGGTGGGACGCGAACAAGGGGACACAGGTGGAAACTGAGTACCCACATGAGCCACAGAGACATTAGAAGGAACTTTTACAGTGTCAGAGTAGTTAACGGATGGAATGCATTAGGCAGTGATGTGGTGGAGGCTGACTCCATACACAGTTTCAAATGTAGATATGATAGAGCCCAGTAGGCTCAGGAATCTGTACACCAGTTGATTGACAGTTGAGAGGCGGGACCAAAGAGCCAAAGCTCAACCACCGCAAGCACAACTAGGTGAGTACACACACACACGCGCACACACACACACACACACACACACACACACACACACACACACACACAAAACTGGCCTGAATTACAGGCCAGTTTCCTTAACTTGTATACCATGCAAGGTGCTGGAGAAGATCGTGAGGAAAAGGCTCGTAGAGCATCTGGAGGGAAATAACTTTGTAACGCACCACCAACATGGGTTCAGAGATGGTAAATCGTGCCTCACAGGGTTAATAGAATTTTATGACCAGGCAACGAAAATTAGGCAGGAAAGAGAAGGGTGGGCCGACTGCATTTTCCTGGATTGCCAAAAAGCCTTCGACACAGTACCCCATAAAAGGCTGTTAAAAAAGTTGGAGCAACAGGCAGGAGTAAAAGGGAAGGTGCTCCAGTGGATAAGGGAGTACTTAAGCAACAGGAAACAGCGAGTAACGGTGAGGGGGAAGACATCAGAGTGGCGAGATGTCACCAGCGGAGTCCCACAGGGCTCAGTACTTGGACCCATCCTGTTTCTAATATATGTGAACGATCTTCCAGAGGGTATAGACTCATTCCTCTCGATGTTTGCTGATGATGCAAAAATTATGAGAAGAATCAAGACGGACGAAGATAGACAGAGACTACAGGATGACCTGGATAAACTGGAGGAATGGTCTAGAAAATGGCTGCTGAAGTTCAACTCTGGACAGTGTAAGGTGATGAAATTAGGCGAAGGGAGCAGGAGGCTGAACACAAGGTATCATCTGGGAGGGGAAATCCTGCAAGAATCAAATAGAGAGAAGGATCTGGGGGTTGATATCACACCGAACCTGTCCCCAGAGGCCCACATCAAAAGAATATCATCAGCGGCATATGCTAGACTGGCCAACATAAGAACTGCCTTCAGAAACTTGTGTAAGGAATCTTTCAGAACCCTGTATACCACTTATGTAAGACCAATCCTGGAGTATGCAGCTCCAGCCTGGAGTCCATACCTAGTTAAACACAAGACAAAGTTAGAGAAGATTCAGCGGTATGCCACCAGGCTCGTCCCGGAACTGAGAGGATTGAGCTACGAGGAAAGGCTAAAGGAGCTGAACCTCACATCCCTGGAAAACAGAAGAGTAAGGGGAGACATGATAACCACCTACAAAATTCTCAGGGGAATTGACAGGGTGGACAAAGACAAACTCTTCAGCACGGGTGGGACACGAACAAGGGGACACAGGTGGAAACTTAGTACCCAGATGAGCCACAGAGACGTTAGAAAGAATTTTTTCAGTGTCAGAGTAGTTAATAAATGGAATGCACTAGGAAGTGATGTGGTGGAGGCTGACTCCATACACAGTTTCAAATGTAGGTATGATAGAGCCCAGTAGGCTCAGGAATCTGTACACCAGTTGATTGACAGTTGAGAGGCGGGACCAAAGAGCCAAAGCTCAACCCCCGCAAGCACAATTAGGTGAGTACAATTAGGTGAGTACACACACACACACACACACACACACACACACGCACACACACACACACACACACACACACACACACACACACACACACACACACACACACACACACACACACACACACACACACACACACACAGCACTCTTAGATCATCAAGTGCATAAAACAGTTAAATAAACAGGTGTTTATGTGTCCTCGTCTACAGGTCGTCCCTTATCCCTCACATTACAGGCCACATCAACCCACACCACTACAGGCCACATCAACCCACACCACTACAGGCCACATCAACCCACACCACTACAGGCCACATCAACCCACACCACTACAGGCCACATCAACCCACACCACTACAGGCCACATCAACCCACACCACTACAGGCCACATCAATCCACACACCACTACAGGCCACATCAACCCACACCACTACAGGCCACATCAACCCACAGCACTACAGGCCACATCAACCCACACCACTACAGGCCACATCAATCCACACCACTACAGGCCACATCAACCCACACCACTACAGGCCACATCAACCCACACCACTACAGGCCACTACAGGCCACATCAACCCACACCACTACAGGTCACATCAACCCACACCACTACAGGCCACATCAACCCACACCACTACAGGCCACATCAACCCACACCACTACAGGCCACATCAACCCACACCACTACAGGCCACATCAACCCACACCACTACAGGTCACATCAACCCACCCCACTACAGGCCACATCAACCCACACCACTACAGGCCACATCAACCCACACCACTACAGGCCACATCAACCCACACCACTACAGGCCACATCAACCCACACCACTACAGGCCACATCAACCCACACCACTACAGGCCACATCAACCCACACCACTACAGGTCACATCAACCCACACCACTACAGGCCACATCAACACAACCCACTTCAGGCCACATCAACCCACACCACTACAGGTCACATCAACCTACACCACTACAGGCCACATCAACCCACACCACTACAGGTCACATCAACCCACACCATTACAGGCCACATCAACCCACACCACTACAGGCCACATCAACCCACACCACTACAGGCCACATCAACCCACACCACTACAGGTCACATCAACCCACACCACTACAGGCCACATCAACCCACACCACTACAGGCCACATCAACCCACACTACTACAGGCCACATCAACCCACACCACTACAGGCCACATCAACCCACACCACTACAGGCCACATCAACCCACACCACTACAGGCCACATCAACCCACCCCACTACAGGCCACATCAACCCACACCACTACAGGCCACATCAACCCACCCCACTACAGGCCACATCAACCCACACCACTACAGGCCACATCAACCCACACCACTACAGGCCACATCAACCCACACCACTACAGGCCACATCAACCCACCCCACTACAGGCCACATCAACCCACACCACTACAGGCCACATCAACCCACCCCACTACAGGCCACATCAACCCACCCCACTACAGGCCACATCAACCCACCCCACTACAGGCCACATCAACCCACACCACTACAGGCCACATCAACCCACACCACTACAGGTCACAAATTAAACAAATTCGTTTGTAGATACAAAACAGGTACAGTAGCAGCACTGATGGCTACAAAACCCAAGGGATGGCTGCAGGAGTAAGAAAACGAGCTTCCTCCAAGCCACAACAACAACCTCGATCAATGTCAGTGTTTTTTATGAGACCGGGAGGGAGCCAGCAGCCTAAGAACGTATTATTACAGTACCTTTAGTTGAATTTCTTTATTGCTGTATTCTATTACAAATCTCTCAAAGGGTACAGGTGTGAAATATATTATGCACACGACCACATGTTTTGTATGAGGGTGTAATGAAAATATGAATAAAGAAAGAAACACAGAGAGAGAGAGAGAGAGAGAGAGAGAGAGAGAGAGAGAGAGAGAGAGAGAGAGAGAGAGAGAGAGAGAGAGAGAGAGAGAGAGAGAGAGAGACAGACAGACAGAGAAAATGACAGTATGCGTCAAGTCGAGGCGGTAGGCTTAGTTAAATTTGAAGTACATATTGGTTTCCTGTCAGATTGCAGGGAGATAATTATATTTGGCTAATTAGATAGAGAGAATTAATGTTCCAGAATTAATTCCCTCTCTCTCTCTCTGTCTCTGTCTCTGTCTCTGTCTCTGTCTCTGTCTCTCTCTCTCTCTCTCTCTCTCTCTCTCTCTCTCTCTCTCTCTCTCTCTCTGTATTTCTACCTTTATACTTCAGTACATCTGCCCCTTTTCATCGACAATGTTTCCTCTTTGCTCACTTCTCCCCCTTTTCATTTCCCCTCTAGCTAGTGTCGGCGCTTCTGGTGCGTCACCGGCCAATGGGATTAACCAATTCATCTATCCCTCTCCCCTCTTCCTCAATCACTCAACTCTCGCGTGTATTATTTGCACATACAGTAGATGTAGGAAAATCCATCAGTTAACCTACCCTTGAATCGCAAGGACAATTTCCTTACGATTCAAAGGTAGGTTGGTTGCTTCCTCAAGGCAGAGGAAATAAATCACTCAACCCACCTGTGGATGGAAAGGATATAAAACTGAAGCAGTCAAGTATTCCACTTGTGCAGGCGATGAGTCACAATAACGTGGCTAAAGTATGTTGACCAGACCACACACAAGAAGGTGAAGCGACGACGACGTTTCGGTCCGTCTTGGACCATTCTCAGAAAAATGGTCCACGAATGGTCCAGGACGGACCGAAACGTCGTCGTCCCTTCACCTACTACTGTGTGGTCTGGTCAACAATCCACTTGTGACTTGTAGGGCCAGAGAGCATCTGTATAAGAGAACTAAGACAGGCAATCACTCACCTGTAGACTTGCGCGCGAGCACGGGGGGCTTGGTCTTGCGGCCGAAGCACCGGTTGAGCTCGTTCCTGAAGTTGATGGTGTAGGTTCCGTAAACGAGGGGATTGACGCAGCTGTTGCTGACGGCCATGATGAAGAGGGCGTCTTGGAGGCGCTTATCTACCTGCTCCGCGCTCTCCCGGTCAAACATGTACCTGTCGGCAGGTGGGGAGGAGTGTTAGTTGAGCTGGGGGGGGGGGTAGTTGGGGAGGGGAAGGGTTGTTTGTAGGAGAGGGAAGAGGTTGTGCATGGTGAAGGAAGAGGTTGTGCATGGTGTGAGTTGTGAGTTGTGGGAGAGAATTGCGAGTGCCTACGATCTGAACATTTAAATAAATGTAAACACTGATGAAGGCTGCAATAAGCTTCAGAAAGACCAGGACAAACTGCAGGAACACTGTAGCAAATGGTCTCTTAGAGTTCAACTCCATCAGGTGCAATGTAATAAAGACAGATGTTTGAGGCAGAAGAGCAGACACAGGGATCAAACTTGTCTCGTGACGCACGTGTCAATCACCAGCTGTACGTGCAGGACTGACTAACGTAACAACTCTCCGCACCAGACACGTGCTACACCTGAGAGATAAGAACCAAGATGAACGATTAATGGAACTAAATCTCACACCACTGACATCAAATTTCAGAGAGACATGATTACTGCATACTAGATGCTCAGAGGAATTAGCAGGGTAGACAAGGCAAGATAGTTTGACATGAGTGAAACACCTTCAAGATAACATGAAGTGGAAGTTAACATCGGATTTGAAAAAGTAATTTTACTTGTAATCAGTCATACGCACACAGGTGCACGTAGAAACATTCACACACACACAAGCGTACACAAGCACACACAAAGAACGTCCTCGTTAAGAGCTGCAAAATGAGAAAGAGATTATCTCTGGGGAACGAGAGATCAAAGAAAACACCCTAATCACAGGATGGAATTGTAAATCCTGAAAGAGAAAAGAAATACGATTTAATAGGAGAAAGATTAATGAATACAGTAATTACACTCTGAGGAGGAGGAGGAGGAGGAGGAGGAGGAGGAGGAGGAGGAGGAGGAGGAGGAGACAAAGAAGGAAGACTTTCCTCAGATGTGCCTCGTTACTCTAAGCTTTAAGCACTTGCCAAAATGTATATTCTGAGATGTCAACTGGAGCCTTGTAAACTCTGTCTATCTTCAACATCCAGAAAGGATCTCACACAAAATCTTTAGTCCATGGCCTAGCCTAACAATCTAATCTAACCTAGACATCCAATAAAGATAAAATTTATAAAAGAGCTGAATAAAACAGCAACTATAAATAATGAACACCCAAGACAGTAATGGGATGAAATCAAATATTGCGAAATCTTTAAGTGAGAAAAGTACTGGAACATCCTAGGTGACTTGTAAACATGGGACGCGCGGTGACATCAGTCTGACGGAGAGTGTTGGAGAGTGAGGGTGTGGCGGTCGTGCTCGTCCTGTCCTCTGAAGCCTGACCTCGTCCCAGATAATGACTTCTTTCAAGTGTTTCACGTATCATGAATATATATCTTCAAGTATTGTACTATTTATTTTTAGTAGTGTATATGTGAAGATCCAGCCCATTCTCTTTGTTTTGGTAGTACTTATAGTAACGATGAGGAGCATAGTACATATACCGACGTACAACGCAATTAGAAAGTAGAAATCAGTACTATTGAATTTAAACAAACCGGATTTATATATATATATATATATATATATATATATATATATATATATATATATATATATATATATATATATGTCGTACCTAGTAGCCAGAACGCACTTCTCAGCCTACTATGCAAGGCCCGATTTGCCTAATAAGCCAAGTTTTCCTGAATTAATATATTTTCTCTAATTTTTTTCTTATGAAATGATAAAGCTACCCATTTCATTATGTATGAGGTCAATTTTTTTATTGGAGTTAAAATTAACGTAGATATATGACCGAACCTAACCAACCCTACCTAACCTAACCTAACCTATCTTTATAGGTTAGGTAGCCGAAAAAGTTAGGTTAGGTAGGTTAGGTAGTCGAAAAAGAAATAATTCATGAAAACTTGGCTTATTAGGCAAATCGGGCCTTGCATATTAGGCTGAGAAGTGCGTTCTGGCTACTAGGTACGACATATATATATATATATATATATATATATATATATATATATATATATATATATATATTGCAAAGACAAACTCAACTAACCTAACCTTCATAGGTCGCATCTGTCCTAGCTATCTGAGGCCTAATATAGTACATACTGTATATGTGCTATACTAGGCCTAGGAATATTTAAGTGTTTTTTATCTTTATTTTTTGGGGGGCTCAGTAAAGTGAATAGTACAAAATTCTACTATCTATTTTGTTAGTACGTCAATATTTGTACTATGGTGCACACAGTTATAAAAAATAGTATCCAAACAGGAGGACAGGTTGCTAACCTTACCTAGTGAAGATAAAGGATATGCCTGCGCATTTATTCTGGGTAACAAACTGCCTGATTGGGTTGTTATCTTCCATTACATGCACGTTCGATTATTTACTTACAACCGGTTTTGCAACCCCACATGTCATTTGTGAATAACTATAACTTCTCGTCTTAAACATTTAAACCTCATATTTTGTAGCTAAGCCTAAACCATGGCACATTATTCACACATTGTTGTGACTTTAGTGTTCAGTGATGTTCCCGGCTTGTACTCCTCTCACATTGTATGTTGCTTCCCTAACACAGTCACTAGGAGCCCTCAGGAGGATTCGAACCTGCACACTGTGTACCTCCAAGCACACGCCTTAGACCATTTAACTACGAAATGCTTATAAACAATGAAGCCTGAGATTCAACTGAATCCTCTGAGGGGGGCCCTGAGGCTTCCACTGAAGCTAAGTCAGGGTTTCACTCATGCACTCTGGCTGTGGTCCAGGAGTTCTGCCCCACTGCTTCTCTTCAGTAAAAGCTTCAGGAGCTTTGAGGATTCAACTGAATCCTCTGAGGGGGCATGAGGCTTCCACTGAAGCTAAGTCAGGGTTTCACTCATGCACTCTGGCTGAGGTCCAGGAGTTCTGCCCCAATGCTTCTCTTCAGTAAAAGCTTCAGGAGCTTTGAGGATTCAACTGAATCCCAGGTTTCTTTGCTTATGATCATATCGTGATTAAGTGATCTAAGGCGTATGCCTGGGCGTACCCAGTGTGCAGGTTCGAATCCTCCTCATGGCTCTTGTTGATTTCCTCATTGATGCATCACATTAATGTTATTTCTTTGGGCATTGCTTCTGTATCTACCTGGTTAATTCTGCTTAGAATCTCCTATGTCATTATCATGTCTCCTTTATTTTTTTTATTTTCTACAGTACGGCGAGACTCAACTTCCTGTCTTTTTATAGTTCAGGATGAACCTTGTTACATATGATTTAACTTTTTTTATCTTCGGTGTTTCTTCAAGTTCTTTATGTTGGGGTTCCATACCAGGGCAGCATACTCGAGAATGGGTGATTGATTAGTTGATGAAGATTAAAGCACCCAAGGGGTGGCACGGGCATGAATAGCCCATAGGTGGTAGATTGTTTAAAGTGAATGTGATTTTTGGTTGTGAAAGGATATACTATATCCTAAGTTCACATTTAAATCGCCAGTCCTTACTATGTGGCTGCTATTGCGGGGGAGGATACTACTTGACAGTCTTTATGTGGGTCTCCAGCTGCTGGACACCTTTTTTGACGAGAAGAGTGGCTGTGTTGATGGCTTCAGGGTGGTTACTGCAAGATTCGGGGACTCTTAAAGCTCTTCTAAGGTCGGTAGTTGCTTCACATTCCAGGAGGTAGTGAAGTAGTGACTTTTGTGTGATTGTTTGGCAGAAGATGCATTTTCACTCTCTGAGTTCACTAATTTCCCCAGCTGGATATGTAACCTGAACGTAGTCTATACAACCTAACTGCTATTTCCCTGTGGATTCCTTTTGGTATATTTAACCTATCTAATTTGGTGGCCTGAAGATACCATGTTGCAGATGGCGAACCTTCAGCTACTCTCTGGTGTAGATAGGCTTTGTTGAGGTGTGAGAGTTTTTTTGGTGATGGTGTTTTTTATGTATGCTTGGCTAGTGTAACAAACTAGGCTGTTGTAAGAATTATTCCAGAAGGTTCCAAAAGTCGTGCAGGGACCTGACCTCACAACGCACATTCCTCTGGGAATTAGCAGGTCTGAGTCACAAATGGCGGGCATCTTTGTTCATAGTTTTGTATAATGAATCATCCTATAGTATTCAGTAATTTAGAGAAATTAGCCTTTATTCATTTTGTATTAAAATTGTATTGTATAATAGTACTGGGTACAATATCAAGAGTATTCTAATTATTGAGTTTAAGTCACCATCAGTAACGTCACGAATCAGATCTAACTTGTAAGGCGGAGTGACCGGCGGTCATAGGTCATCAGGGTTGACATGTCTACTATTTCTCAAAGTTCAATTAACCATTTTGGGGATCGGGAACAGCTCTGCCGTTAGATGTTTGTGTAATTTAATTTCAGTAAAATAATTCAACCAGTCTGGATCAATTAAGTATAACAGAGGTTAATTGTTATAACTTAAACCTGGCTAGTAACTTGGTAAAACTTTGACTAGGCGGAAGGATACAATGTTCTAGTCTGGGCTAGGCCAGACGAGGACAGATCAGTGTGGACTCCAGAGCAACTGGGAGAGGTCAACCATCTTCCTCTCCCCAAGACCAGCCCAACATCTTTAGCTGGTAAAACATAGAGGTATAGTTGCTATTGTTATGTATAGGAATAGTCTTCATTGCCATTCAGGTCAAGTAGGGAGTGTTAAAGTGACAGGGAGTGAACATATTTAGATTTTGTTTTAGTTTTTCTTTTAATAAATTAATTAGGTAATAAATTGCATTTTTATTATTTCCATGTGTTTTATGTGTATACTTGTCCTGGTCACGTGGTCCACACGAGGCAGAGTTGGATTGGGCGCCGATTCTAACATCGAATCATTCCCGTGTAATTAATTTCACACTCTTAAGTTTCCACGGTCATCGGTTATAGTGGGGATCAAGCCCCAAGGTTGATTAATTAGCGTGATCGATCCAGACCTCGATCATTGCTCGGTGTTGCTGGTCTGGTGGTGGCAGCGTAGAGGCGACTCTAGGGTTTTGCTCAAAGCCTAGGTCACGTCATACTGGGTGTAGAATCCTAAGTCGGTCAATCGTCTTAGGACCACGTGGCGTGGAGTTGGCTTTGGTAAAAGTTTTGGAGTCCCTTGGTAGAGAATAAAAAGTAAGAATACGGGTAGAGGGAAAAGAAGGAAAGATAAGTAGAGAGAGAAACCCTACCCGTGTTACACTAGGTTGGATTCTTTGGTTGATCACTTGGATGACGAGTTGCAAATTTAGCAGTTTCATCGGTTTTCTCATTTAATGGGATTCCAACATGGGATGGGATCCAGTTTAAGGTTATGTTGAGTCCTTTGCCTTTAGCGAAGGCAAAGACTGCTCCTATATACAAAATTGTGGAAATTATTTTCACGTTATCTTTCCACTTTTTTCCCTAATATTTGAAGTGCAGCTTTTGAGTCTGTGTGTGTGTGTATGAATGCATTTTGAGTGTTTTGCGCAATCACATATGTGGACAGTTTAACTGCTGTATGGCAAACAGCCCAGTTTGAGGTTGATGATACTGTTCCAGTCTCCAATATGGCTGTTCGCCGTCCGTGCAAAGAGCAGCACCAGCACCCTCATGGTGTGTCCACCGACCTGTGAAGATGTGGGTGGCTCCTGCTACTGCAAGGCTCATCATTTGCTTCTCTACGATGCGCTTTACGATTGTTGGATCATAGGCAGCCTTTTTCATCAGAAGATCTTCTATTACTGTTTTGAAGGTGGGCTTCTCCCACGGTGGGGAACAAGTGTAGTTTGGGTGTGGTTGATCTCCTTTATCATGAACTATGTTTTTTAATTATAGTCTGCTGAGGACTTCTCCCGCTTTTTTTTTTCTACCGCAGACGTGGCCACACATTTACAATGCTAACCAGCATATATACATTTTCTTCTGTCCTCCATGGACAGGGTTAGAGAAGTGTTAAACATGGCAGCCCAAGAGTTTCCATTGTTTTGGCCAAGTCCAACCACCAAGGCCTGTCGTACTGAGCCTGGATCAGGAGAACAAGAATGGGTCTCAGATAGGAAGAATATTGTTCTCGGAAGGCTCCTCTGTCCAAGTTCCTGAAGTTTGAAGGAACATTTGCCAGTATGGGATATCTGCCGACGTTATTCTGCTCATGGGGTGTCTTTGGTGTTAGATTTGAATCTACTCCAAGTCTTTCTCATTTTCAGACGTTTGAAGTTGGTTTTCCCTCACCTTGTACTGTATTTTGGGTCTTCTCACACCTTTGTTCTATTCCCCATAACATTGCATTTTTCTTGGTTTAAGTCCAGTAGCCATTTCTATTTCTGGAGGCTGTCTAGTTCATCTTGCAACTCATTACAGTCTTTATTTGATCTGATCCTTCTCATCGATTACCATCATAAGCAAACATTGACATGAATGAACTAGCGTCCACTGTTAGGTTGTGTACATATTATGAACAGGATAGGCCTTAGTCCCAACCCTTGAGGGACTCCATTTATTATTTCTCTCAGTTAAGATATCTTTCATTTTACTGTAACTTTGTATTTTGTTATTTTGTCAAAGGTGATCGTATTACATCTTTTATATTCTTGTAGCTTTGGCATATTTAACGCCTCTAGCCTCTCTTCATATCTTGTTTTTCAGTTCTGGAAGCCATTTTGTAGCATGCATTTGTATCTTTTCCAGTATATTGATGTGCTTCTTGAGATATGGGCACCATACAACTGCTGCATATTCCAATTTTGGTCTCGCAAAAGTCTAGAACAGTTTCAGTAATATTTCACCATCCATGTATGAAAAGCGATTATGAAGTTGGAAAACCCAGCATATGCTCCTCACACAATGTCCTTTATGTGGTCCTCTGGTGACAGTCTACTATCCAGAGCCACTTCTGGATCTCTTTCCTTGTTAGAGTTCTTTAATTCCTTTCCATATAATTTGTAGGTTGTGTGTGTGTTAATTTTCTCCCATTTCACATTCTATAACACGACATTTATTCACACTGAATTCGATTTGCCACATGGTGCTCCAAGCACTTATTTTATCTAGGTTCATTTGAAGCATGACACTCCTCTGCGTCTCCCGTCTTCCCCAGTACCTTAGCATCATCTTCTTGAGATGATTTCGGGGCTTTTTTAGTGTCCCCGCGGCCCGGTCCTCGACCAGGCCTCCACCCACAGGAAGCAGCCCGTGACAGCTGACTAACACTCAGGTACCTATTTTACTGCTAGGTAACAGGGGCATAGGGAGAAAGAAACTCTGCCCATTGTTCCTCGCCGGCGCCCGGGATCGAACCCGGGACCACAGGATTACAAGTCCAGTGTGCTGTCCGCTCGGCCGACCGGCTCCCCATCATCCGCAAACATGTTCATATTATTCTGTATTCCTTCTGGTAGATCATTTATGTAGACAATGAACGTTACTGGTGCAAGAAGTGAACCCTGTGGTACTCCGCTACTAACACTCCTACACGCAGATACATTGCCCTAAATCTCCGCCATTGTAATATAGGAGTTATTTACTCCTCAGTTTTAATCAGATACATTACACTACGATTTTTAGACAACATGAATGGTGCTTCTGTTTTCAATCTTGTCATGAAGCATAAAGAGGTTTTTATTATTAAAATACATGGAATATTAATATGGTACAAGTTATTTTTTAATAACCTGTAGGCGAGAAAGTTATTTGCCACAATTCTAGTTGTACATCATTTTCCATGAAGACTTACACACTTCTTGAACATTATTGGTTGAATTATCTCTAAATTCTAGATTTTCCCACATTCAATGGCAGACTAACGTAACGTATGTGAATAGTTCTGCTGACAGAGTTGAGGTGAGGTCAGTTGTACTTCAGCAGGTGGAGCAGACTCCCAGAGGTACTTGTAGGCGGTCCTGAGTCTAACAGTATGTTACGAACCCGGATTCAACGTCCGAGCCTGGAGCAGTGACAAACACGCCATCTGTGGGTCAGCTCCCGAAACCCCCGCCAAACGAACGACGACACCTAGTGAGGACAGCATGTACTGGCCTCAAGGACCAGTTTCCAGTCTGGTTCAGCGCTCAACACCGCCGCTCCTGACCTCTGGTGAGGTGGTGCTCCGACGACAGCGCCATCTATGGACTGGATACGTCAGGTGTTTGTGCCCTAGCCTGTGAGTGTGGTGTATTAGTGTCCCAGTTATTGATGACGTGTCTGTTTACAGAGTCGACCTGGGACCACTGTGTTGACGATTGAGTCAGTCTACCCGAGGCAGCCAGTCTCCATACTGTGAAGTTTGCTGCAGCTGTTGTGACGTCGTTCCCCCGGAAGAACACTGTGGTGTGTTAAGCCTGCCAGTGGAGTGGCAGTGGAGGGATTTACCCGGGACCGACGGTTGGAGACGATAATCCACTGGGGTATTGAGGACAGGAGGGTGATTGGTGATATCACACGAGACTCCTGTCTAGGGCGTACCCTTTTTATCGTTCGTGGAGTGGCCGTACCAGCCTTGGTGGCTTAGTACCTGCCAGCAGACCTGCTGGACGTGTGGTTGACGGCCTCCACGACGGTGCCCCCAGTGGACCTGTGTTGTGGCTGACCTGTGGCCAGGGTAGGCTCGGCGTTCTCAGAGGACACGTCTTGAGGCCACGAAGAAAGCACCGCGGACTCGGCTCCTAGCCATTGATCAAGAGTCTTCAGCAGAAGACTAGATTGTACATGATCCCCTTGTAAAGTGTTAATACCCCTCCCCCTTGTGTACTAATTTATTTTATATATTTAATCGGTGATGGTGTTGATTATAATATTAAGTTCTTAACGTTCTTTCCCTACTCCCTTTTAAGTTACTTGTGTCACGGATCTCATCCCTTGATAGCCACTACTGGCTTGGGAACGGATACATATATCTTCCTCTAACAACATCAGAGTGAGAACCCCGTTGCGTCCCGAGAGGGCCGTAACACAGTACTAACGTCTAGAAGTCTGCCAACCTTACTAGATGATCCATAGATCACTGTGGATCGAGGCAGCTCCCCCTATCTCTCCTACACTTGAAACAATCACGTGATCCCACGTCAATTAACCTGTAAATTGTCCCATAAATCAAACACCCTATTTCTAAAGAACTAAGTTAAGCCTTATCGTGTCCGGTTTCTTAGCCCTGAGCCTCTCGGCTTATATCATATATTAAAGGATTTAATAATAGTAATTGTGTTGGGGGACAGGCAGCCAGGTTATGTGTACAGTACACGTTAGGCTTATATTGAGCCCCTCCCTGCCCCCCTCACAGGGAGAAAATATTGACCCTCCCCAAGATGCAACCCCACAACAAGCTGACTGGGTGGACAGGAGCACTAGGTGATAGGAAACGCGCCCAACCATTTCTGTCCCGCCCGGGATTCAAACCGGAAACTCTCGAGTGTGAGTCAAGAACGAACGCGACTGTACTACCGGGACCCCAAGCCCTAACCCAATAGCCCAACCACCACATATTTCAAGTTGTCCTGAACCCCTATCACGTATAAAGAGAAGGGAAGAAGCCATTTTATCGGAAACGGACAACGTGACGCTGTCCTCAACAACACTGACCACATAAGACTAAAAATATAACATTGACCACATGGCACTAACCACATAACGATGACAACATAGGGGGTCCAGCACCAGATAAAGGCCAGGACAATGATAACAGTCATGCGCAGTGTCCTGGCGCGCGCGCGCTCTATGTTGCTGACGTCACTCCTGCGCAGGCGCATACGACCCCCTCGACCCTGGCCGCTTGGCTCCACTGGTGAAGGTGGCGACAATACTATTATTATGTAAGATAACATTGTTTAATAATCAGTAGAAAGCCAACATGCAATAATAATATGAATAATATATTTTCTGTTTTGTTGATAAAATGTTAAAACATACTTATGCGCGCGTTATATTGCGACACATGTGACAGGAATTAAAACAAGAGAAAGTCTTTCCCTTACTAGACTACAGAAATTTGTACTGAGAGGTGTACCGATGCGTGAATAATCCTTCAAAATTTGATAAGCCTTAAGCTTAAAGCTAACATCAGCCGCATCTGATGGGTATACACAGCTAGAAGTGTGCCTTGCTTCACGGCGTGTATACACTGAAAGTTTACTTTAGTCCTGCATTGTGTTCGGGTCGTTCAAGTGATTGAAGGCGTCTGGCAGTTAGGAAAGAGAGGAGGAACATTTCGTCTTCAAAATTTTTCAGTATAGTTATTGTGGTATTCTTTGAGGAACTTTGTAGTTTCAGCACGGAGCTCCACAATACTGGTGAGGACTCACCTACGTGAGAGCCACCTCACTTCTGAGTGGGAGAGAAGGATTTAATTCACTCACTGTCTCCTCATAAAGGCCTATCTACACCAGAGAGTAGCTGAAGGTTCGCCCTCTGCAATATGGTATCTTTAGGCAATCAAATTAGAAAGGTTAAATATCCCAAAAGGATCCACAGGGAAATAACAGCTAGGTTATATAGACTTACGTCCAGGTTACAGATGCAACTGGGAGATTGGTGAACCCCGACAGAGAGAGTGTGCATCTTCTGCCAAACTGTCACAGAAAAACCATTACTTCACTATCTTCTGGAATGTGAAGCAACCAACGACCTTAGAAGAGCTTTAAGAGTTCCTGAATCATGCAGTGGCCACCCTGAAGCCATCAACACAGCCACTCTCCTGGTCAACAAAGGTGTCCAGCAGCTGGACACCCTCATAAAGACTGTGAAGCAGTATCCTCCCCCGCGATAACAGCTTGACGATTAAATGCAACCTCAGAATACTGAAAAGAATTACTGAACCAAAAATTGTACCACTTACGGGCTATTCATGCCCGTGCCACCTCTTGGGTGGCTTAATCTTTATCAATCAATCAATCTTCATAAAGCATCATAAACACTGTGGTTTAAGGGGCGACCCCCGGATGAAATTCACGACTTGAACACAGAATTAATTTCCTTAAGGTGAGACGACAATGTCTTTGATGTCATAGCATGGCGATAGAGAACAACGAGGTTCATGATGATATCTGGTCCTCCTGTTACCAAAACAGCGAATCCAGACCTGCAGCCTATTACTCCTGGGGCGCCATCCGTGCAGACAGACCCGACCTTCTCCAGGTTGATCTGATGCTCCTCAATAAACTTGTCCAAGACTCAGAATATATCTATACTGCCTTCGAGGTTGTTTGCTAAGCCTTGCAAAAGAGGAGCTCATCTTTAATTTCACCATCTTGGATGCATCAGATACACACAATCAATTGACTCATGGAAATATGAACTGATTCATCCAACTGAATGCTGATGCGGGTGGGACTGTCCTTAATATCCTGACAAAGCTGGTTGAAGATGTTGCTGCTCATATCTATAACTATCCTTGCGATGACGTCTTCGAACAGAGGAATTTACGCCATATAAATGACATAAGTCTTAACTATGGTTTGTTGTTAAAGATTCGCTAATCGGAACAAAAAGCTCCAAGCAGCACGGCTACGGTGAGCCCGTATCTTAACTATGGTTACGGAGCTGAATACGAAGTCTTCTCCCTGATGCACTGGTATGCCATCTCATAGAAAGCTAGAAGGGACTGATGTGGTGGTTTGAATCCAAGTCGGGGCATTGTACCTTATTGATCATATCAAGCTCTCTTGGGCTGGCTTCGATAGTCTGGTTTTGGTCTGCTGGATGATCTGCCTTGTGTTCTCGAACTCTAGCAGGCTTCAAATTCAAGCTACAAATAATTAAATGGCAGGTCATCAAAGAAAGCAGTGACATATTTGACATAGTGACATAAGGAGTGAATATGTGACATATTCATCACTCTATTTGCTAGTCAGTCATGTTTACAGTTTTCACGACCTAACAGATCTGCGAACAAAACAGAAAGTCTGTTGGGAGGAACAAGCACCATGTAAAATTAGATAACTGACCATCAAAATTTGTCATTTGATCTCGTGACTTTGGTAACATTCAGCAGAAACTACAATCCAACATTTGTGTTAACAGTGAAACAAACAAATAAGGAAACTCATATATAAAAAAGACATTGATGAACAGAACCTTTGAAGGGAGACGGTTGAGCCGCTCTACTGCTACTACAGCCTCGAGCCATACATCAACACTCGGGCTACAGCACAGGTATAGAGCAGGTCCACACAGCGTGGCGTCACAGACTCTCAAACATAACCGAACTCTGAGATGTACACAAATGTTTCGTGTTCCATCATTATGGTAAAGTGTTGCTTTACTTTCTCTTTTCTTATTTGCAAAATAAAAAAGGAATTATTTGATTTTTTGCAGACGATGAGTCACAATAACGTGGCTGAAGATATCACGACCAACCCACACACCAGAAAATGAAAAAACGACGACGTTTCGCTCTGTTCTGGACTATTATCAAGTGTTTTTTTTTTATTAACAAGCTTAGGGGAAACTGTTCTATGTGAAAGGATTACACACTTAAATTTCTTTCTTTATTATGCACCCCATACCCATCCCGTGGGCGGTGGTGTAAAGGATTACAGAGGCACATAATCGGTTCAGGACCTGAACCCCTCTAGTTCGTTTAGCTAAGTAAATGACAATTTTTGAGTGTAGATAAAAAACTAGCTATAATAAGTTCATCTAATACTCCCATCTCACAGGATGGTTAGTCATACATGGACTCAGGGAAGATAATATACCAACCTCAAAACAAAAATAAACCAACTCTGATTAAACAAATCTGATTTTTGTGTTGGTCAATCTGGTCTATGTGTGTTGACCTGATTGTTTTGCTATTTTCCTTTTTTATTTGATCAGCATTTCCAACACACTTTAAAAATTTATTTCAGGAACCCACAGGGGGGGGGGGCGGGATGTAAGCGTCCCAGGGTTAAGAAACACTCAAAAATTGCATTTCGAATCATATGCATAACACTGAAGTATTTGAAATAAATATTTAAAAAAAATTTGGAAGAGGCATTTACGAATGCAAATTTGGATAATCAGACTTTTCCTATTTCACGTAAGTTCGAGTTTTACGAGGAAAATGAGATCTGAATATTTGTTGAAAAAGTTTAAATGGAAATGTTTAGAGACTAAAATAAAAATTAAAATTAAAAATGTATTGAAGTCCCACTAAACTGGACGAAATATGACAGAAAACATACAGTTGAACATGAGAGAAAACGGAGCCCTTCTACAGCGGTTCTTGGACAGCCTTAAGTCTTACCGTTAGAGTCCTTAGACTTCTGTGAGATCTCCCACAGGATTCGGAGGTAGACAACGATGATGACAAGAAGAGGCATGAAGTACATGGCTGCGAGGCAGAAGAGGTTATAGGTCATCTCCTCCACCTGCGTCCTGAAGAACCCAAAGGTCACGCACTGCTTGAAGTTTTGGAAGACAGGATGCGTGTCTACGTGGAAGATGACACTCTGTTGGCAGGATGAACGACATCTTGAAAACTGCGATAGATAAAGTGTTTTAAAATATGTGGATAGGTGATAAGGTAATTATTTGGAGATAGCCAGCATGGATATGTGGCACTTGGACAGGATATGAGTGTAGGATAAGAGAAGGGATACGAGGACAAGGAGGGGAGGAACGGTTCCTGAATCTCGGTCCTTTGGGGATCGAACTCCGAACCTGCAAGAAACCAGTATGACTACACAGCACTTGGAAGGGATCTGAGGATGGAATATCAGCTTGATATAAGAACATTGAGCTGGGATATGAGAACAAAGAGCTGGGATATGAGAACATAGAGCTGGGATATGAGAACATGGAGCTGGGATATGAGAACATGGAGCTGGGATATGAGAACATAGAGCTGGGATATGAGAACACAGAGCTGGGATATGAGAACATGGAGCTGGGATATGAGAACATGGAGCTGGGATATGAGAACATGGAGCTGGGATATGAGAACATAGAGCTGGGATATGAGAACATAGAGCTGGAATATGAGAACATAGAGCTGGGATATGAGAACATAGAGCTGGAATATGAGAACATAGAGCTGGGATATGAGAACACAGAGCTGGGATATGAGAACATAGAGCTGGGATATGAGAACACAGAGCTGGGATATGAGAACACAGAGCTGGGATATGAGAACACAGAGCTGGGATATGAGAACACAGAGCTGGGATATGAGAACACAGAGCTGGGATATGAGAACACAGAGCTGGGATATGAGAACACAGAGCTGGGATATGAGAACACAGAGCTGGGATATGAGAACACAGAGCTGGGATATGAGAACATAGAGCTGGGATATGAGAACATAGAGCTGGGATATGAGAACACAGAGCTGGGATATGAGAACACTGAGCTGGGATATGAGAACACAGAGCTGGGATATGAGAACACAGAGCTGGGATACGAGGATATAAGGACGGAAGGCAGGAATAGCATCTAACCGCTTGGATCATCAGGAGTTGAACGCCGACCCTGCAAGAAGCGGGGCCGCCTCTTACCGAAAAGAAACACAATAAAATGTTGTACAATTGGCCGCGGGATGGGTTTAGGCTGTGTGTCTGTCTGACCGTCTGTGTGTTTGTATGTCTGTATGTGAGTCCTTCTGTATGCCTGTGTGTATGTTTGTATAACTGTATGCTTGTATGTGTGGGTCTGTGTACTCCTAGTTGTGCTTGCGGGGGGGGGGGAGGGGTTGAGCTCTAGCTCTTTGGTCCCGCCTCTCAACTGTCAATCAACTGGTGTACAGATTCCTGAGCCTACTGGGCTCTATCATATCTACACTTGAAACTGTGTATGGAGTCAGCCTCCACCACATCACTGCATTCCATCTGTTAACTACTCTGACACTGAAAAAGTCTTTCTAACGTCCCTGAGGCTTATTTAGGTACTTAGTTTCCACCTCGGTCCCCTTGTTCGCGTACCCCCCCCCCCCCCCCCGACGTGTTAAACAGTTTATCCTTATCTATCCCTTGTCAATTCCTCTGATAATCTTGTAGGTAGTGATCATGTCTCCCCCTCACTCTTCTGTCTTCCAGTGTCGTGAGGTGCATTTCACGCAGCCTTTCCTCGTAGCTCATGCCTCTTAGTTCTGGGACTAGCCTAGTGGCATACCTCTTGAGAACTTTTTCCAGCTTCGTCTTGTGTTTGACAAGGTACGGGCTCCATGCTGGGGCCTCATGCTCCAGAATTGGTCTTAAATATGTGGTATAAAAGGTTCTGAATGATTCCTTACACAGGTTCCTGAAGGCAGTTCTGATGTTAGCCAGTCTTGCATACGCAGCCGATGTTATTATTTTGATGTGGGTTTCAGGAGACAGGTTTGGTGTGATATCAACTCCTAGATCTTTCTCTCTGTCCGTTTCATGAAATACGTCATCTCTCATCTGTATCCTGTATCTGGCCACCTGTTTCCACCGGCTAGTTTCATTACCTTACATTTACTCGGGTTGAACTTTAGTAGCCATTTGTTGGAACATTCATTTAGTCTGTCTAGGTCATCTTGTAGCCTCATACTATCCTCCTCTGTCTTAATCCTCCTCATAATTTTTGCATCATCAACAAACAATGAGAGAAACGAGTCTATATCCTCTGGGAGATTATTTGCATATATCAGAAACAGTATAGGTCCAAGGACTGACCCCTGCGGGACTCCACTGGTGAAGCCTCACCAATCTGAGACCTCACCCCTCACAGTGACTCGCTGTCTTCTGTTGCTTAGGTCGTCCCTTATCCTACGGTGTCCCTTCCCTTTCACTCCAGCCAGCATCTCCAGCTTTTGCACTAGCCTCTGGTGTAGTACTGTATCAAAGGCTTTCTAGCAATCTAAAAATATGAAGTCTGCCCATCCCTCTCTTTCTTGCCTGATTTTTGTTGCCTGGTCGTAGAATTCAATTAACCCTGTGAGGCAGGACCTGCCATTCCTGAACCCATTCAGATGTTGCGTTACAAAGTTCTTTCGCCCCAGATTTTCTACTAGTTTTTTCGCATAATCTTCTCCATCAACTTGCATGGTATGCAAGGTGTGTATCTCTGTATGTGTGTGTGTTTGTGTGTCTCTGTATGTGTGTGTGTTTGTGTGTCTCTGTATATGTGTCCCTTTGTATCCTTGTGTGTATGTTTGTATGACTTTGCATGCCTCGCAATGTGCGTATGCCTGTACTTACCTAATTGTGCTTGCGGAGGTTGAGCTCTGGCTCTTTTGTCCCGCCTCTCAACTGTCAATCAACTAATGTACAGGTTCCTGAGCCTACTGGGCTCTGTTATATCTACACTTGAAACTGTGTATGGAGTCAGCCTCCACCACATCACTTCCTAATGCATCCCATTTGTCTACTTCTCCGACACCGAAAAAATTCTTTCTAACGTCTCTATGGCCCATTTGGGCACTCAATTTCCACCTGTGTCCCCTTGTGCGTGTGCCCCTTGTGGTAAATAGTCTGTCTTTATCTACCCTATCAATTCCTATGAGAATCTTGTATGTGGTGATCATGTCCCCCCTAACTCTTTTGTCTCCCAGTGACTTTAGGTTTAATTCCCGTAGTCTCTCCTCGTAGCTCATACCTCTCAGTTCGGATACTAGTCTGGTGTGGCAAACCTTTGAACCTTTTCCAGTTTAGTCTTATGCTTGACTAGATATAAACTCCATGCTGGAGCCGCATACTCCAGGATTGGTCTGACATATGTGGTATATAATGTTCTGAAAGATTCCTTACACAAGTTTCTAAAGGCCGTTCTTATGTTAGCCAACCTGGCATATGTTGCTAATGTTATCCTCTTGATATGAGCAGCAGGGGACAGGTCTGGCGTGATATCAACCCCCAGGTCTTTCTCTCTCTTTGCCTGTACGTTTGTATGTTTGTCTGCATGCCTGTAAGACTGTGTGTGTGTATAAATGACTGTGAGGGTGTGTATGACTATGAGGGTGTGTGTATGACTGTGAGGGTGTGTGTATGACTGTGAGGGTGTGTGTATGAGTGTGAGGGTGTGTGTATGACTGTGAGGGTGTGTGTATGAGTGTGAGGGTGTGTGTATGACTGTGAGGGTGTGTGTATGACTGTGAGGGTGTGTGTATGAGTGTGAGGGTGTGGACAGCGTCTGACCTCAGACTGTCACAGGCTCTCCAAGACATGCTCATGCAGTTTACCATAGTCAGTATACCATAGTCAGTATACCATACGTTGTACCACAGCTCCAGGTCCTTAGTTCCCTTTAATAATAAGACCATTCCTCTATCAGTTCTAAGTTCTAAATTCTATTTAATAAGTGCAAATTCTTTCCAATATGGCATCTATCAATCTAAATTATCTCTTAAGAACTTTATATCTTAAGCACAATAAAGTTGTAATACAATGATGTATCTATGATAAAAAGTATTGGGGCTGTGTAATGGGATCGAACTTGCGTCATTGGGCAAGGATTCATCAAGCATTTCCGTGACCACTCACGACACCTGTACCTCTCTTCTCGATCAGGGCGGCTTAATCTGTGTTTCAAGCTTAGAAACTTCACAAGTCAAGACTATTATTGTTAGAGATACCCTCGTAGTGCTTCGTAACTCATAAACTGCTTATTAATGAAAACTGAGCTCTATTGGCTGAAGAAAGATGTACAGGTTTCGAAAATAGACACTTAAGTGCTGGATTAACCATGGTTAATGATTTCGCACAGAACCTGTCTTCCGACGTCTACATCAAGCGGGTGTCACCAGCGGCAGATGCAAGGCTGGACTCCCCGCAGCCACGCTCGGCTTAACCTTAAAGTCTCTCACTTGGACACAAACGGATTACCGCCGTTCTCATCTCAGTTTCACAATGGATTTATTGAAGCCAAATGCATGTATTGGCCGCCGACCTCCACAAGCTGATGTCAGCGAACACTGACGTCTGGATCATCTGTCCAGAGTCTGTACACATCTCTGTACAGGAAGTCCCGAGTCGTACAGGGATTTACACATTTACGTCCGTACACATGGGCTCACACATGTGTGTTCGGGACATGTCTCCCACATGTCTGTTAACGGGCAATTTTGCTCTCAAACTCCACAAGCATGTGTGTGTGTGTCTCTCTCTGTCTCCCTCTCTCTCTCTCTCTCTCTCTCTCTCTCTCTCTCTCTCTCTCTCTCTCTCTCTCTCTCTCTCTCTCTCTCTCTCTCTCTCTCTCTCTCTCTCTCTCTCTCTCTCTCCTCTCTCTCTCTCTCTCTCTCTCTCTCTCTCTCTCTCTCTCTCTCTCTCTCTCTCTCTCTCTCTCTCTCTCTCTCTCTCTCTCTCTCTCTCTCTCTCTCTCTCTGTCTCCCTCTCTCTCTCTTTCTCTCTCTCTCTCTCTCTCTCTCTCTCTCTCTCTCTCTCTGTCTCCCTCTCTCTCTCTCTCTCTCTCTCTCTCTCTCTCTCTCTCTCTCTCTCTCTCTCTCTCTCTCTCTCTCTCTCTCTCTCTCTCTCTCTCTCTCTCTGTCTCCCTCTCTCTCTCTCTCTACACCCACATCCTCTTCCAGAATTTCATCTCGCCATCCCCTCTACCTCCCCCGTCCTTTTCAAATCCATTGGACATCAAAGCGAAAGCTTGTGTGCTCAACACCAATGCGTCAAGAGACCCTAGCTGACGTTGTACACTGTACTGAAGCTGTACAGTGTACACACTGACTACACTGTACTGAAGCTGTACAGTCTACACACTGACTACACTGTACTGAAGCTGTACAGTCTACACACTGACTACACTGTACTGAAGCTGTACAGTCTACACACTGACTACACTGTACTGAAGCTGCGCAGTCTACACGCTGTACACTGTACTGAAGCTGTACAGTCTACACACTGACTACACTGTACTGAAGCTGTACAGTCTACACTCGGACTCTGTACACCCTGCTGAATCTGTACAGTCCAAACACTGATTCTGTACACTGCAGTTAAGCTGTACAGTGTACACACTGCCACAGCGCTGTAGCTGTACAACCTACACATACTAAACAAATCCCCGTAATAAAGAGATGACAGTTAATGCTCTAAATTTGATTAATTTAACAAATTGAAGCTTTACATTTTCCTGTGAATTTGTTTCTTTGGTTACTTAGGTAATTGTTTCAAGATCTCCAACCCTACTGCCGACCCTTGCTTGCCTATTTATTTTCTATATCTTAGTATTTCCAATTTGAATTTATCGTTCTGTTTTGAATTGAAATTGCATGATTAGTATCCCATTTATATTCCGCTTGTTAAGCCCTTTCGTCCATATTTGCATACTTCAGTGTCACTTTTTGCACTTTTCTTTAGTGGAGAAGTGAAGGGATCTATTAGGAAAAAGCGCCAAGGCAATACGACTATATACCACTTGGAAGGGGTCAGGATTAGAATTTGGGATAAGACGGGGGGAAGGAATGGTGCCCAACCACTGGGACGATCGGGGATTAAACGCCGACCTGCTTGAAGCGAGATCGTCGCTCTACCGTCCAGCCCAAGTGGCTTGGGCGCCTTATTGGACAGTAAACAAAAAATCAGTTTCTCCTCATAAATGAAGTTCCTAATTCCCGGGTTTAACTTAAGCATCTTTGTGTATACATTTTCACAAAAATTCTAGAGTACGGTGCTTAAAGCTGTACTGTATAATCCGAGTGAGACTAATAAAGTCTAATAAATTAGGTCTAATAATAAAGTCTAATAAATTAGGTCTAATAAAGGCTGGATAAGGATAAACATTATGCTTTATTACTCTTGCTTCTAAATGTAAAGCCTATAGATAACCATAATTTGAACATTTATTCAGTTTTACATTAGTTGCAAAATTCCTTATCATTCTTCCCAGAGTCGTTTCACAATCATATATATACCTATTTTTATTTAATGTTTAGCTGGCTTTATTATAGAAATCCTTCCCTGCAAACACAGAACGTAACTGGCCATATTTTCCGCTTGTTATCACTTGTAATAAAGTTGTTACCTCTTGGTATAACGTTTTTATGACACATAAAAATATTTTTACAACTTGCTCTATTGGTTGTTACATCTTGTTAGGTGTTAAAACTTGTTCGAACGTTGTAGCAACGTCATAGTCTCGTCGTGTTTGGCGGGTAGGCACTTTTATGAAAGTCATGTGTAGAGACGCTATGATTATTGTGAAGAAATATCCTGGTGCCATATAATATATATATATGCTATTATATTGCTAATATATTAATAGCTCTGCTATTATAAGAACATATGATAGCAGAGCTCGCAACGCTTGAGCAAGAACATCACTAAATGAACCTGAACATGTGTATTCTAATGCACTGCAGCTGGATTAAGTATTATATAATTGGGATTCCTGTATAGATGCATTATAATATATATGAGTCCTGTAAGCACAGTGGTCTACATACTCAGCTCACAACCAAGGGACCTCGGGTTCAATTCCTGGGCAGGGCAGAAACAGATGGACATGTTTCCTTTCCTCCTTATGCATCTGCTCACCTAGCAGGTACCTGGGAGTTAGGCAATTATTGTGGATTACATACTGAGGAAGGTCAATTGTAGGCCTAAGGCAACCTCAATAAACCTAGGTACAGGCTTCATCTTCCCAACAACTTGAATTAATGAGTAATTATTTACCAATATATAATAATATTAGAGATGTTACATAATATAATAAACGTTCACATAACATTTAGTCCCATGTTAGGCCACTTGTGGGGGCCTGTCTGGGAGCTCCTTACGTACTGAATCAAACTGTAGTAATCAAATATTAAAATCTTACCCCATCGTAAGAGAGGCCTCAGGACTCACTCAAGGGATGGAAAAGGATTTACCAGAAGGACAGAATATAACTCGCCTGAAGATGGGAAGGAGACTCATCTGAGAAGGGAAACTCACCTGAGGGAGGGAACTCACCTGAGGGGAACTCACCTGAGGGAGGGAACTCACCTGAGGGAGGGAACACACAGCAGCAATGGACCAAGCAAAAGTTAACATCATTTTCCCGCGCCTCTGGGCATCATTGACCTGCAATAAAAATTACGACAACAAATAAATGACACAAAGGCAACATAAATGCAGACACAGAAATCACAATAGCGTGATGCATCAAATGAACAAATCTACAAGGGCCTTGATGAGGGCTCGAACCCACGTCCAAGAGAATCCAAGACACGCCTTAATCAACTGTGCCACAACAAGTCAAAAGTAGTGCAACTGGGAGTTTAAGCCTTATCACTTCTTCAAGTGTGTGTAGACCTGTTGCACCGTACACAGTAGGGAATGTAGTGTTATTAGTGTGGGCTGGCTATACCACACTGGTCTCCATCCAAAGTTCACAACTTAGGGGTCTGGGTTTAATGCAAAGGCAGGACAGAAACGGTTGGGCACGTTTCATGTCGCCTGATACCTCTTTTCACCTGACAGTAAATAGGTACCTGGGAGTTAGTTAGCTGTTATGGGTCCCATCCTGGGGGAGGTCTCTAGGTGTCTTAGGTGGCATCTCAGCAAGCTTAGGAGATTTCCTGTCCCCGACCATGAGGTGGACCATGAGGTGGACCATGAGGTGGCCCATTAGGTGGTCCATGAGGTGCACCATGAGGTGGACCATGAGGTGGTCCATGAGGTGGACCATGAGGTGGTCCATGAGGTGGACCATGAGGTGGACCATGAGGTGGCCCATGAGCCACATCTCACAAGGTGTGGTAAGGTCACACTGACCCTCCACCATACCTGCCTTAAGTTAGCCAGGTGTCCGCCTTGTTATGCCTGACCAGTTACTGGGGGTTGTGACCTGGTTCAGCCCCTCCTGATCCCTTTCCCATCCTCTCGGCGGGACAGCGCTCTGGTACTCCGGGCTGAAGGCAAGTTTGGGTAAACATGAATATCATGATATTCGTTGTTGAGGAGGAAGCCTTTGCTTAGGGTTAGCCGTGTCCCCCCCCTCCCCTCCCCTGGAGTCTAGGTCAACTATTGACCTTCCCCAGGATGCTGGCCACAACAGTTGACTGACTCCCGTGTACTTATTTACTGCTGGATGAAAAGTGCATGAGGTGACAGGGAAAATGAAACGCGCCCAACCATCTCTGTACTGGCCGAGGTCTGATCAAGTATAAGTCTCAGCTATGGGCTCACCATAGCCCGTGCTACTTGGAACTTTATGTTCCAGGTAGCGAATCTTAAACAACAACAACAACGTATAAGTGAAAATTATTAGGGATAAGTGGAAATGACCAGAGACAAGTGGGAACGGTTTGTTTATATGAGAAGTTGTAAACCATGTCTAAATCGGCTTAAATTCTATAGCAAATGTTTTGCTCTCGTGAACTTGCGGGTTTAAGTATTTAGAGCAGCAAGCGGTATAATATCTCTCCCAGAATACTGCAGGTTAATCTTCCCTATCCTAGCAAAGTATGAAGCTTTGTAAAAAATGATTTTACTTTGACACAGAAAGGAAATGTATATGTTTATCTCTTAGAATGTTTGGTAATATGTTTATTGTTTGTGATGTGTGTATATGTATGTATTAACACGATGTACTGAACGGGGTGAGAATAGCTTGAGCTACCTCATCCCTTTGGGTGTATTTTACCTCAATAAACTTATTTCAATTTCAATTTCAATTGACACAGAATGTTGTGTACACGAATTAACATGTACATACATCATTTTATGAGGGAGGGAATTATCTGGGGAACGCGTCAAGCCATTATGGTTATATATCACTTGGAAAGGGGTCAGGATATATAAGGACTTTCATACATCATTTTATGAAAGTATATTTGCATAATACTGTTTAAATGTGACTTTTAGGTCGTACCTTAAGAGGATGGACAATGGCGAAGTATCTGTCGAGGCTGATACAGACGAGGACAAGTGAAGACAGGTAGAGGCCGAAGGCTCGCAGGAACTGGAAGAGCTTACAGGCGAGGTTTCCAGCCACCCACTGAGTGGTGATCCTCCATCCCACCTCCAGGGGGAAGTTGATGAGTGTTACCATCAGGTCGGCTGCAGCCAGGTGCATGATCATCATGTTGACGCGGGATTTCCTGTGTCGGTTTCGGAAGAGGGTGATGAAGACGGTCAAGTTCCCGACGGCCGCCACCAGGAACATGACGGAGTAGATGATGATGTCAGTCATGGCATTGTCGTCGAAGCCAAGGCTGGGAGGCAGCACGGTGCTCGAAGCGTTCATGACTTGGCTGGAATTGTTAAGCGTCCAGGAATCGTTGGCTAGGCAGTCGGAGGTCTCTGGAATCTGGAAGCAATCGGTGTCGTTGAGGGAGTGTTCCAGCCAGGTGCTGGGGCCTGGACTGGACACCTGTCGAGCATTCTTCCCGCCGTTTATCACCGACTGTGTGACAAGGAGTTCCAGAGCCTCCATGGTTGGCCAGCCCCTCACCGACTGTGTGGCCCCCGCGCCACGCTGGCCACTCGCATCGTCCTGTGGGATACAAACTTCCTGGTTACGGACTTATCTCTAATAAAGTTAAATATGGCCGCTGGACGTAAATATGCTTAAACTGATCGCAATATTTTAGACCTTGACTTCGACCTGCAATTATGACTCGTGATTACGATGAGTGAATCATGAATTTTATCTAATATTTCTAAAATATAATTCTCTCCCTCAAAACTTTAAAAATTTTAATAACTTGATTCATGATATTCGTATGCAAAAAAATATTTATTTAGAATAACATTTTAAACCTAATTTCCGGATGATTCCTATAGTTTACCTGCATAAACTTGAAAAGAACAAAAATATAAAGATTTTTGCATAATTACAAACGTAATTACTTTACAAACAACCCGTCCTCAGGCGAGGCTCGTTAAAGCACGGTCGACTGCTCAAGCCGCGTTCATAAATTTTAGTGTATTGTGCATTACAAATAATTTCGCTATATATAAATGAATATTATCATATCTTAGGGTTCTGTATATCCTTAAGTTAGGTGTTTAGGTTCCGTTGGCGATTATTTGTATTTGTAGTACGTGGGTGAAGCATTTACAGCGTTGTGGTTCGAACAGAGGCCGTCAGTGAAGCACTATTTGAGAAGTGTTCGAACGTCATCAGTTGTGAGTCGTCAGCCCATTTTCATAAACAAAAGTCAAAGTTCATTCCATGCACTCCCCCCCCCCCCTCAAACCCCCTGTTTATGAATGAAAAAATGTTTACACGGGATTCAGAACTGATGACGTTCGAACTCTTCTGGAACAAGTGCTTCACTGAAACCCTTCCTCGACTCAGGTACATTACATCCCAGCCCGTCTTCCAAACAAAGACCCAAAAGTGATTCCATGCACCCGCCAAACCCCCTGTTTATGAATGAAAAGCGGTTTACACACGACTCACAACTGATGTCCGAACACTTAAGGAACAAGTGCTTCACTGACGAATTTTGTTCGAACCACAACACTGTAAATGCTTCACCCACGTACTACAAATACAAATAATCGCCAACAGAACCTAAACACCTAACCTAACCTGCGCCTATATATGCACAATATACTAATATATCATAATATTAATTTATATTTGAGAAAATTTCCGTGTTGAATAAACAGCATGTTAAAATTTATGAATGCGTCTGTGGGGTCGACCGCTGGATGGAATGGATTTGGTCTGAGGACGGGTTTAAGTCGTGTGTGAACCCCTTTTCATTCATAAATAGGGGATTTAGCGGTTAGGTTCATACAACTGTTCATACACTGTTTCTATTGCTTAAAAGTAATATTCCATTTTTTTTAATTATTGTGTGTAAATTAAGTCCTTAGGGGCAATACCACTAAATTATGTTCCATCAAACTTGGTGATCCGTTCATTTTATAAATTAGCTCTGGCCAATATTAATTATTACAAGTAGTAAAATTTGTGATGAATACATAGCTGTGTGATATGCAATCCTACGTGACCCACGTACATACCTATATACATACATACATACATACATACATACATACATACATACATACATACATACATACATACATACATACATACATACATACATACATACATACACAGATAATCAGGTGAATCTACAAAGCCTTTCTTTGAATGGCTTTTATTCTCCTCACATTCATGTCTTTCAGGATGTTTGGTGTGTGGACAGTTTTTCCTGAACAAGTTGGCGGTGTTCTTGCTCTTCTAGTATAATAATTGATATATTAATTAACGCAATTAATATTATACTATTGAGCAAGAAGACAGCCAGCAGTTTCAACATGTTGACAGGACAACAACGCCGCTTTCAAGAGGCCTAACAATGCACAATCAGCTCAGCCCTATCATGGAGCATGTGTAGTCTCTACACATGCTCGTGCTGACTATCACCAGAGATATACAGACAAACAACTCCAAAACAATCAACAGCGACAATATAAGACTGGCCATTAGCGAGGCACTATACACATGAAACAAACCCACCCAACTATTCAACACCCAATTACACTCTGCGAGCATCTTGATCACGACGCAACGTCCAACATCACTGTTCCAGCCATCATGGAAGCGTAGGGAAGTGGTAAGTTGCAATAAGTCTATATGTTGCATTAGTAAGGTGCTTCACTTCAACACTGGCCATATATTCGGCTGCTCAAAAACTTGTATCCACTTGGACTCTGCCTTTGATAATGTTGACACAAGTCAAGGAAACGCATCTCGTATCTTAAGAGTCAAGCCTTAATAAAATTATAAAATGAACTTTAATCTCACTATCTCTGAGAAAATCCATAGGAGCCGTGAGGAGGATTCGAACTGATGCCTTGGGTACTCCCAGGCACACGCCTTAGACCACTGCAGCACGACATGGTCAAAAAGAATTGCAACTTGGGATTCAACTGAATCCTCTGGGGGTTACCACCCCCATGATATTGCTGTGTGTTCTACCAGGACCTTACTTCCCAGAGTTGAATCTTGAAGTAGGTAGAGTGCTACTTCAAGACCCCGAACCACGAGACAGTATTAGCAAGACCATAAGCTGCTTATGTTCATGCATTAATTACCTATTAATATCCATTATGTTTCATCTACTTGTTCATCTCAATCACGTCCTGTACCACCTCACCTCAGGAGAATATAAGCCTTTGCAATAACTTGGGAAAATTTGCCTTTTAAAATGTAAGGAGTGCTTTGTGAAACGGATCCCTAGGCGCCAGACCATAATAAATTGTGAAAATGAACTCTGGAGAGTCAATTTTTCAAGTTCCCTTGACAGTGAAGAAAAACATAAGAAATATTGAGAAAATTCATGTTAGAATCATTAATCTTACCCTTTTGGTCACATTCAACAATATATGTTTGCAAGAAAGACCACCCAAAATACATACATATATATATATATATATATATATATATATATATATATATATATATATATATATATATATATATATATATATGTATATGTATATATATATATATATATATATATATATATATATATGTATATATATATATATATATATATATATATATATATATATATATATATATATATATATATATATATATATATATATATATATATATGTCGTACCTAATAGCCAGAACGCACTTATCGGCCTACTATGCAAGGCCCGATTTGCCTAATAAGCCAAGTTTTCCTGAATTAATATATTTTCTCTAATTTTTTCTTATGAAATGAAAAATCTAACCATTTCATTATGTATGAGGTAAATTTTTTTTATTGGAGTTTAAATTAACGTAGATATATGACCAAACCTAACCAACCCTACCTAACCTAACCTAACCTATCTTTATAGGTTAGGTTAGGTTATTTAGCGGAAAAAGTTAGGTTAGGTAGGTTAGGTAGTCGAAAAACAATTAATTCATGAAAACTTGGCTTATTAGGCAAATTGGGCCTTGCATAGTAGGCTGAGAAGTGAGTTCTGGCTACTAGGTACGACATATATATATATATATATATATATATATATATATATATATATATATATATATAGTACCTAGTAGCCAGAACGCACTTCTCGGCCTCCTATGCAAGACCTGATTTGCCTAATAGGCCGAGTGATTTTTTTTATTTTCAATAAATTGTTTCCAATTAAATTATTTGAATTATTATTATATTATATTAAGACTATAAATTATTGACTTAGTTGTGTTAGTTTATGTTAGGTTAAGATAGGTTAAGTTAGGTTAGGTAGGGTTGGTTAGGTTCGGTCATATATCTACGTTAGTTTTAACTCAGATTTTAAAAAATTAACTCATACATAATGAATTGAATACCTTTATCATTTCATAAGAAAAATATTGAAAAATATATAAATTAAGGAAAACTTGGCTTATGTCGTACCTAGTAGCCAGAACTCACTACTCAGCCTGCATAGTAGGCTGAGTAGTGAGTTCTGGCTACTAGGTACGACATATGTCTATATATATATATATATATATATATATATATATATATATATATATATATATATATATATATATATATATATATATATATATATATATATATATATATATATATATATATATATATATATATATATATATATATATATATATATATATATATATATATATATATATATATATTATTAAATATGACCGAAAAAGTAAGATTAATAATTCTAACACGAATTTTCTCAATCCTTCGTACATTATGCTTCACTGTTGGAGGTAAATCAAAAATCACTTCTCCAAAATTCATTTTTATTTCTAGTCTGACGCGACACGGGCGCGTTTCGTAAAACTTATTACATTTTCAAAGACTTCACAAATACACAACTGATTAGAACTTGCGTTTCCCTGATTTTATATCTACATTTGAGTGAGGTGGGAAGGGTGATGTGGCATTACATTTGAGTGAGGTGGGAAGGATGATGTGGCATTAACACAAGACAGAACACTAGAGGATATTAATAGGGTATTAAAAGTATCAACACAAGACAGAACACGAAAAAATGGGTATTGAATAGAAGTGTTTGTAGAAAGCCTATTGGTCCATATTTCTTGATGCTTCTATATTGGAGCGGAGTCTTGAGGTGGGTAGAATATAGTGGTGCAATAATTGGCTGTTGATTGCTGGTGTTGACTTCTTGATGTGTAGACTAACGTCGTCTATGCCTTCAAATGCCCACTTGGGGACTGTAAGCTCCAAAAAACCCAGTATATAGGCAAGACAACAACATCTCTTTCTAGGCGTTTAACGATGCATAAACAACAGGGCTCCATTAAGGAACATATAATCTCTTCCCATAACCAAACCATCGCCAGAGAAATCCTAGTAAACAACACAGAAATCATCGATAGATACAGCGACAGCAGGCGGCTTGACGTTTGCGAGGCACTACACATCAAGAAGTCAACACCAGCAATCAACAGCCAATTATTGCACCACTATATTCTACCCACCTCAAGACTCCGCTCCAATATAGAAGCATCAAGAAATATGGACCAATAGGC